CGATTCGATGGATTTCGGCATGATTTTGGAGTAAATTTTCCTTCTTCAGATCGCCCTCGTCGAGAGCTTTCAGTTCCTCTACGGAGGAGCAAATGCATACCGAGTATGGCCACCCGAAAAAAAAATAATTATAATAAAATAACGAAATTACAATGATTTTTACGGTTGAATTTCGGGCACATTATAAATTTATTGTTAAATTATTGGACGGGTGAAAAAATAAATTTCGTTTTAAAAGATACAATTCTCAATGAAAATTAATTTGATGAAATCAAATTTGTTCGAGAAAAATCAGTTTTTTTTTATTGTTAAGATGCTTAACAACCCCCCTTTTTTACTGTACATTTCTCATATACTATGATTTTCGTTTTGATTTTATGATAATCAACAAAAATCTCCATTCAAAATCATTGTATTTTTATTGGATTTTTTTACGGGCGGGTCCTGTTTGGCGTCCAACAACGATATCTTCTCGGTCGCGAATGACCATGGCTTTGGTTAGGAGCACCGACTGATGAAATCTTTAGCAACAATTGCCGCCAAAAAGCGCGAGTCATTGACAGCTCAACATCGTTTACTTGTAAGCAAATGTTAACCCGATGTGTTTACTCCTAATCATTTTGGCCTAAGGTCTTTCATTATACAAAAGAAGTGCAGATAACAATGAACACAACATAGTGACATGCAGTTTGACAACAGGCTCTCCCTTTCAATTTTCGTTAGAGAAAAAGAGATAACAGGCGGTGCCCCAATAGCATCAACTACTTTAAGCTAGTAGATATGAGTAGATAGTGTTGCCGTGAGGTACACTTGAAAATTTCAAATGTAAGTGCGTCAAACCAAATTTCGAGCCGCTCCGTCTGTCACTTCGTTTGTGCTTTCCACGGCCCATTATGCTATATTAGAAATAAAAGTGACACATTTTCAATCCCATATTATGATTTTGCATACTCACTGACTGATTTAACGTAGAAAAACTTTCATAAAATATGGATGAAAATAAAATTTAGCTAGAAACAATCACTACTGCTATTTTTTTGAGCAGCTTAAAATGGACGTTGCAACAGGTTCAAATCAAAATGTCAACAAAGGGAAATCGTAACGCTACAAGCAGTATCTCATATTAACATGAGATGTCACTAGTGAGCATATACATGATTGGTTGCTTAAATCAGTAACGCATACATGAATTATGAATGAAGTACTCAAGCATGATATGGCACTGCTATTTTATTGAACACAACTGTATGTTCTTTAAATCTAGTTGGTAAAGTTTTCTTGGTTTGTCCTATATAAACTTTTTTATAATGATTACAGCTAATTTTATATACCCCAGCTTTACCTAAAACATCTACTGGGTCTTTAGTGGATCCTAACAAAGATTTTAACTGGTTATGTCTACTGGTGAAAACTAAATCTAATCCGATTTTTTAAGCTTACAAGTAATATCTTGATCAAATGGAACTGACACTCGTTTCAAGGGTTCAGATGCTGCGGTGAGGGTTGTAAATAATCTCCTTTGTAGAATTTTCGCTTTTTTATCGATGATTGCCTGGATTGTGGTCACCTTGTATCCGTTGAGTCTCACTGTTTCGAAGATGTACTGCAATTCCTTAACCTTTCCTGTTTCGCTGAGTGGAAGACTATGCATCCGATGAATCATGTGAAGGAAGGCGGCCATTTTTGCTGGAACGAATGGTTGGAAGTATAGGTGATAACTCTTTTGGTGCTGGTTTGTTTCTTATAAACTTCGTATTCCAAAGAAGAAGATGATGACGATTCTCTGATGATAAGAAGATCGAGAAATGCGAGTTTTCCATGTTTTAACGTAGGATTACGTCTTTCGGGGGTGCAATTTCAAAAAACCAAAATCGACCGTGATACGAAAAGTGGTCAGGTTTTGACCACATACTATATAACTCTGTAAATAGCAGATGGATTTTAATTCTAAACAAGCCAATCGATTGGAAATTTTTCTACGAATCTTTTAAAATGAACACTTTATCAGTTTTCAATAGGTAACAATTGCATAAATGTCCAACTGTTGCAATGGTGATCAAAATTATCACCGATTGCCTGCCAGAAGCGTTTTCTCTAACACAGGTTTCAAAATCGATTTCCATCTGGTCTCGCCGAACGGTGCTTATTCAATCACCGTGTGTGGTTGTGTCCGTTCGGTGGTTATCATCATCAGCAGCAACAGTGCTTTCGGTGCGTGGCGTTGAACATTCGGTCTCCAGTACACAACGAAAGGCTGACCGCAAGCAACCCACATGAGCGTCCATTCAGCGAAGAAGGATGAAGAAGCCACACCGTTACTGATCGGATTCAGTTGCTCGTTGTGAGTCACTGTAGGCCATCTATGCTAAGCGCGTCACCCTTGTTCCAAACAACATACAGCTCGCCAGCCTCATCTGTGTTGACACCTTAATAGCATTACCAACCGATGGAAACTAACGATTTAAAATTGGCTCACTACTTGACTAGCCTATTGATCCCAAGCAATTCGATTGACGTACCCTATTCTAGTCAAAATTCTAGTACTACACAATGTTTGTTTTGATTCGCTATGAAAGTTTGACAGCTAAAATGAGGGGTTTGTGGATTTTCCCATGTTTCGAGGGGTGCATCGATAAGCTTGGGACCGAAGAGAGTACCAGAGCTGAGCCAAAAAGTTGAGCACGTTTCTTCGGGACCTTCTAGTCTTAGAGTTACCTCTATGATACAACCGCTTATTTTTTTATACTAGAAACACACCCACTTTAGCACAGCAAAAACACACCTTGACACAATCAAACACCCTTCTGCCACATGAAAAGATATATTTTCTATTATTTTTGGCACCCCTGCCAGGATTTTTTACGTCTGATATTTACATTCGTTTGTTGTTTATTAAAGATCCGACCGACGTTCGTGGCTTAGTGATTGTGGACTGGGCTCGACGGGTTTTGCCAGTTGTGCGTTCGCAGACGATCCGCTCAGCTAACTGCCGCTTACAAAGGAGTTCGTTTTATTTTCGAAATTTAGATCCGGAGATAACTTCGAAAGGGGCGCGCTATGCCCGGCTAGGTTATCTGGGGTTGATTGAGACTGGTGTTCGTTTAGGATAGATTCTCTATTCTGACCGAGCATGTCCGGGTCAGCATCCGTGATGAAAATGTGATTGGAATCAAGTGCGAAAATGCTACAAATTCTGTCATACACTGCCAGCATACTTCCCGGAAATTTCCCATCCAATCGTTCGATCAACTATTCCAGCAAGTCCTGCATCTAGTCCAGCATACTTTGTTCAATCTATCGAGTGCAGCTGCTCTGGAGTCCTCGGACCCGGTAGGCATTCCAACAGCACATCCAACTTGCTTGAAATCGAATCTAGCTGCGCTTCGGAACTGTCTAAGGTAACTCTAAGACCAGTAGGTCCCGAAGAAAAGTGCTCAAGTTTTTGGCTCAGCTCTGGTACTATCTTCGGTCCCAAGCTAATCGATTCACCCCTCGAAACATAGGAAAATCCACGAACCCCTAATTTTATCTGTCAAACTTTCATAGCGAATCAAAACAAACATTTTGTAGTAGTAGAATTTCGACTAGAATGGGGTACGTTAATCGTTTGCTTGGGACCAATAGGCTAGTCAAGTAGTGAGCCAATTTAAAATCGTTAGTTTCGTATTGATTGTTGCTACTACTACTTCTATCATCTTGTTTATTTATCCCATCTCTATTTATCAAAATTTAACAGCAGCACTCAATTTGTCGTACCACCATGCAGTATTGCCAGTTTCACCTCTGCGGTGTTGCAACACCCCAGCCCGGAGCATCAGGTAATGGTTGAAATTCGGATTTATTGAATCTCCAACACCGCTAGGTTCACCACCCCACGTCTTTGAACTTTGCCATCAGCGGTCCTCACGTCCACCAGTCGGATTCGTCCATCCGAACCCTTGGTTACCGCCACCAAATCGCCCTCGTTTAGCGGCTTCTGCTTGTCGAACCATTTCGACCGTTCTTCTTCCTTATGTCTTCCGGAACATCAAACCGTGATTTGGCAACGTAGAACTCCAGCCCCGGTATCTGCTTTGCGTCTGCCTTGATGTAGGTTTCGTCATCCATAACCACACACATCGGTTTCGTTAACCACTCTCGATACAGCTTCCTTGCGCGGGATTTGGCCGCCGTGTTTTATTGTTCACGCCGGTTCGATGTCTTCCGGACCTTGAATACACGAAGGCCAGCTCGTTTCATGGTTTGCTGAACGAACCAGGTGGAAAACTTTGCCTTCAGAGTCGCGTCGCGAATCGAAAGGATCGGCTAATGCTTGGAATAATCCAATACCTTCCGCGCCTTCACAGGGTCAGCTGTCTTCGATTTTCTTCCACTTCCAGCCCGCCGCTCGGTCATCTGGGACTCCTTAAACGATTTTACCACCCGAGACACAGTTGTATGGGTGATTCCCAGCTGTCTTCCGATCCATCTCATGGTCGCAGTCGGATTTGCCAAGACGGCGCGCAAAATTCTCCGGCGATTTTCTTCTTGTTTCGATGACGTCTCAATAACCACTGAACCGATTTTGCACATGTAAACAATTCACTCCAAACTAGTTATACCCAGATTTTCATCAATTTTTACCCACGGATAAAAAAGTTGCACACGGATAAAAATGGTGCATTTTTTTCGAGCACAAGCCTTAACGCTTCTCTTTTTGTCGACCGATCGCTACTTCCACCGGACACAGGTAATCAATGCCCACGGAGCGGAGCTAAAGGGCCGTAGATGCGAAGTGACTCTTTCAACTGGTAGGGGAGCCTTCCTTGGAGATCTTGGACGGAATTTGTTCACTTTGCACCATACACGCCTCTTCACCACATTCTGGATCGATAGGCGCATCTTGGGAATCTGGAACCTCTGTCTCATTTCGTTGAACACCGTCTCCGAATTTGAGTGACCGAACTCTTCCTGATAATACTGGATCAGTTTCTGCGTAATTTCGTGGGATCGGGACAAGATTATCGGATGCTTTTGTCGAAGGAACTCTCCCCAGAAGTCGCCAGTCTACCGTCCATACGCAGCACGCCTTTGTCGTCAAGTACCGGTGAACTCTTGTAGATGCAACTGCTCTTCCTAATCTTCTCCAGCGGTTGACCCGGCTGGCGCTGCAGATTGTTCGACAGCATGCTCATTTCATCAGAGAAACTGTCCCACTGTACCTGCCGCCACATGATGGTTTCGGCCTGCCCAAGTGGTACCTGCACTGCCGCATAATACAACGCCAGTTGACAATGAAGCGCAGCTCCACGGTAGCCGTCACTCGCAAGAGTCTTGTCCAACGAGAAATCGCTTCAACGTCGATCACCTCGCGGAACAACACAGAACCTCGTGCCTCCTCCTCGGTTTCTTCAAACGTTGGTTCTTTCGATGGCCACTGAAATCCGGTCCTTGGAACCATACTCCATCGCTTTGAAGAGGCGGGCCTTGCACCCACTTCGTCAATACGTCTGCTATGTTGAGCATGGTTGGCACCCATCGCCAGTCCGCAACTTTCGTGAGCTCTTGGATTTCACCGACCCGAAATGTAGCGAATTGCTTGTAGCGATGTTGGTCGGAATTCAACCAACTACACACTATGCGAGAATCCATCCAGAACCGCTCCAGACGAGGAATTGACATCATCAGACTGCACTGAACAATGCCGTTTACCACCGCTCGCAAATACGCCACGCATCCGTACGCGTGTTCGCTGGCATCGGTGAAGATGTGAATTTCCAGCGAATCGATTTTGACGCGCCTTGCACCACCGAGATAGCAACGTGGAATTCGTTTGGCTTCCACCTCTGGCAACAGACTGGTCCACAGCTCGCAGCACCTGACATCGATGTCCTGGTCCCAGTCACAGTTGGAACGCCACAGATGCTGGATGATAATGTTGCCGTAAATGTTGAATGGCGACAATAGTCCGAGCAGGTCGAAGAAACCCATTACACAATTTGCGACAAGCCTTTTCTTCGGCCGTTTTCCCTCATACAGGTACGCCAACAAAGAAAATTCGTCCAGGTCTGGATCCCAGATTGTCCCCAGAACTCGGTCCTTGGAAGTTTGCTGATCCCGGTAGAAGTGCACCGGTACGGCCGATTTCGTCTCTCCCAGATTCCGAAGAACTTCTGGCGAGTTGGACACCCAGTTTCGGATCTCGAAGCCTGCCTTTTGATGTACCAAACGGTGCTCCTGCGCTAGCTTGACTGCCTCTTCCACTGTATCGACACTGTCGAAATAATCGAATCTGCTATACGCGGACCTGCTATACGCGGACCTGCTATACGCGGACGTAATTTATGTACGAACCAATAACATAAATTGGGAATTCGGATGAATATTTGTGTTATTGGTTTATTGCGCATTTTGCACCAAATTAGACTCCTGTGCAAAAAATAATTGCACAGTAATATTTTCGCACATGCCAGAACATTTAAAAATGACTTATTTGAAAGCAGTAACAGCTTTAGAACATTACTAGCAAGCTACACTGCTGAATTAAAGCTTTAGAAAGCATTGAGAAGCTCCATATTTAACTTTTATGACCAGTGCGAAAATATTACTGTGTACTTATTTTTAGCGCAGGAGTCTAATCAGGTGTGAAATCCGCAATAGGTACTTCCACCAACATAAATATTTCTCGGGTAACTTTTCAAAAGGACCTATCTAACAATTGCGTCAGTTTGAGAAAACCGAAGTTAAAGTTCAAAAGATTGTTTTTTTTTAAATTGTTTTAAAATGGAACAATTTGGATCAAACTTTTAACCATGATTAATCAATAATATCACTGTAGAACATCGTCGCTAAATCATTACTGCCATCTGTTGAGTATCCTATGGTGGGTAGTACGCAGAACAGATGGCGGTAGTGTGTAAACGTCAAACGCAAGGGAATTGACTATGCGCGCCACAGGTGGTGGTACTACCAACTACGATATTTTTAAATTGACCGTTAAATGCTTGTTCGATGAACAACTTGCGAGTGTTATGTCTGTTTGTCTGTGTATTAAAGTTTGAAGTAAAGTGGTAAACCTCTGATTGTGTTTTCCATTCAAATCTATGATTGTAAAACGAAAAAAGAACAGTGTTGTACTTTAATTAACTTTATTTTCAATACCGATGATACAGATGACACTTGCCACGTAATTACTACCCATAACTACACGACTGTCTTAAATTAATGGGCATAGGATTAATCAATCACTATCTGCCGGATCCAAATCGGCGTCGAAGTTTTCACTCACCGTGTTTTTTGGTTTTGTCCCACGTCCAGGAGGAGCCAAGGTCTTAAGGAATGCTTCATAATACCATTTCTGAGCGACAAATGGCAGCAGACGGCGTAGATCTTTTTGTTTGGCAGTGGGTAGTTGGATAGGGGTTGTTAATATAGGGTTCAGCTGAATGTCCCCAAATCTTCCAGTCTTCGATGAAAATAGTTGGATAAAACGAAAATTTTCTTCAACAACATCGTTTTTGAACTTCACCAAGCCAGGTGAATCAGAGGAACAGCAGAACACTCTAGCATCTTTAAATCTGAATGGCTCATTCGATGTGGTGAACTTTGGAATCGTGTATCTGGCATCCAGAGCCAACAAATCGAAAAAAAAAATCCTTATGCTTCATATCTTTCACGACAATTGGAGGAGACCGTCGAATGGAAGCAATAAACAAACTCCAGTCCTGAGGGGTTTCGATGTTAGTCTGCGTCCTTTTTTTGGCCCGTTCTATTGCCGAGTGAATCGTATCACATTCCATGTGGCTATGACCCGTAGCCATAAACTTATGGCATATTGTCAGATTTCGCCCTTCAGATGCTGCCAATTCTACAACGTAAGCCATAAGAAAAAGAACTATACGGTTGTTATTTTGTCCAGCGCATCTGTCACTGTACATAATAACTTCCTCCACGCATGCCGGTAGCCCTTTCAAATAATGCCACAAGCAAGATCCGATTTCTCTCGATCCCCGTTTTGCACGCGTTTCGTCCCAAATGTAACATACCGGAATATTTGCACCTATCTGGGTCTCATATACCCTAAGGTTATATGTATAAAGTTGTCGGCTATAAAATGCTCGACCGCATGTGAGATAAGGTGTAGCAAGTTGCTTCTGAAGGTCGAAAGAAATTGTTCGCACCGACATATCCTGATCCGCCTGCTGTCGATCAGCTTTTTTCTCGTCATAGATGCGTTGAGCCGCTTGCTGATGTGCCTCCTTCCGTGCGATTGTCTGCTGTCGCTTTTCCTCATCTGTCTCTACCTGAAGCTCGATTTTGAAGGTATCACATGCGTTGCATGTATCAATTTTTGGCTTTCTAAATTTGAGATCTAGGGACTTGAAGGCAAGCCGATAAGTATTATAATGGACTGGAATGAGATTGTCTTCTCCACACTGGTCTTGGTAAAGCTCATACATGCGCTGAATGGTCAAATCAGACGACAAGGAGAGTCGAGACGATTTCTCACGAGCGTAAAGACTTTCTTCAGCTGGAAAAGACTTGATATGTTTGAGGACGTAGTCGGCATGCTCTGGACTAATTTTTCTTCGGGAACAATTGTTCTTCCGCTTATAATCTGCAGCAATTCCTTGTCCCAAAACAAGTTTATCAGCGAGACTACGAACTTTTCTATCCTTCAGGTCAAACGTAGCGATAAACATTCGTTTGCAGACTTTAACGGGACCTCCAACGCCAGGTTGTCGATAAATTCGAGACCGGGTACGTCTTGAAACAAGAACCTAAAGGAATTAATGCAAAATGATTCATAAGTGTATACGTAATACAAACAATCCTGTAAAAAGACTATGTTATTACCTTCGGACGAACCGTATTTATAACGCTCATGTGACTGGACAAGAACTGATTTTGAGTCAATTCAAGAAGCGTAGTTAGCAGTTTCTTTCGGACCGGTTCAGAAAATTTGTCACAGCATCTTACAACGCTTCCATCCGTTCGTCTGTATGAAAGCCCTTTTTGTTTGAGGATGTTGTTGCTCTTCCGTACCTTTACTTTGCTTTTTTGTTTAGGTTCTTCGCCGTCTGTGTGTTCATTTGCTTGATCTTCTCCAGCAGATGATATTCCAGTTTCATGGTCGGATAAGCGATCATTTTTGAATGTTTCGAAATATTCAAAAATCGATAAGTCATTCAACAGACTTGCGTCACCGTCTGGAAACCATTCTGGATCATTTTGATCATCCTGAAGCGCCCATACTCCGTTGCGCATCCATGTTTCACTCCCGTGTTGAAGTGCCCAACGTAGAGCAACAACTCGCGTGGTCTTTCTTTCTCCGTAAAATGAAAGACAGTGCAATTCCATTTCTACTGTATGGAAAGAGCTCTTTGATGAATCAGTTATCCTGAGGTTGGAACTGTGCTCGTCCGCACCTAGCAAACCTCGGATAATAAACTCATCAGAACAACTGCCCCGATTCTTTATTATTCGAAACCTTTTATACATGAATTTGTTACTTAAACTCTACACAATAGTTTTTCTCCAGTATGTACATATAAAGCGAGACAGATAGTTTTTCTCTTGGAAAGTCGGTGTCTGTTTTTTTTAACAAGAATTAATGCTCCTCGCGGTAGGAACGGCTATGTAGAATGCTTACTCACCAATGTTTACTTTGACCTTTCGCGAAGCACCTAGTTAAGCCAGCGCGCATCGCTGACGACGCGGTAGCAACTGTTTATAAACAACTAACCCTGGAAATGTGCGACATTGTCACTGCTGCTGTTAAGTTGTGTATTTTCTACTACCGTATGGGGGTCTATTACTGGTTAATTTCTTATTCAGATTGATATTGGATTTTGAGGCCTTTGCAATCCGAAAAATCATCATCAGATGCTGGTTCAGACTGCTTCATATTATTACCAATCAGACTCGGGTGTCTAAATTGATCAACATCAACTTTGGCTCCAAATTTCTCTTATTTACAGTATCCATCATGATCATGCCGTAGAACATGATGCTTGGTAGTGTTAAGCGAATCATTTAGAGGCGATTCGTGGTTTTCAAGATGTTTTTCGGGTATCAGGTCAGGTGAAACATTCTGTGATTCAATATTTTTTGCACGTAGATCAAGAATCTCTGAAGCTCGATGGTGACCGGTAGAGCTAGGAGCAAGCACCTCGGAAGCTCGACGGTAACACCGGTATAGCTGGGTTTGTCGCTCTCAGAAATAACTTTAAAAAAAAAGAAAATGTGTCATGAGAATTGGGGGCATAGTTAAATATATGAAGTTTTGCAAACCTACCGTTACTGTTTCTTACGGAAGGCAGACGTCTGCAGCAGTCAGCGTTTGAAGAGTAATTTGAAATATCCTTCAAAGCGACACGACTCAGATTAGCCTTCCTCGATTCCCGTTGACTGCTTCCTCTTCCTCTTTCTCTAATTTATCTGCTGCGGCTAAAAGTAATCACTTCGATCAGACCCTTTTTAAGGTAAAAATATTGAAAGTACGTACCAAGCAGCAAGTCGAATGCGTGCATTTTATCTCGAAAGCTGATTGATTGATTTGATTGATTTCTTTAATATAGAGACTTTCAGCCGTTGGCTGGTTTGTCTCTGATCTCGAATGCTGATTATTTGTGCAAATAGTCGCTGAATTCCAATGAAAACGTTAAAAACATTCGAAAATATGCAGTAATCTGCAAAAGACCGAAGTACAGATTTGTATTGTTTTGATGGTTTTGTCACTTCAGACGTCAGATGGGTCAAAAGTCTGAAGTATCAGTCAAGCACTCATAATGCGAATCTGTACATTGGACAATTTTCAGAACTCTGATTAAATAAAAAAGAGAAAGATATTAGGATGGCTGTTTTTGCATCACATGTAATGAAAGAAAAGTGATAGTTTGCATCAATAAACTCGATTTGTTTGCATTTGTTACTTTGGACCTTTTGAAAAGTTACGCGAGATTTATCCTTTGTTCGTAGTCGTCTGGTTGTAATTCATAATTAGCATCCCATCGCTCTAGGATTGTTATAAAATAGAATTTCTTTTTTGTCCTAACTAGTTGAAAATATCTTATGCATTAAACACTTTATTCGAAATATTTAAGTCAATAGGCCATTTGAATAAAAAGAGTTCAATTTCCTTTCCCGTGCTTTTCTTACGGAGTGAGTAAACTATTTTCTTCATATGACCTAATGTGTTAGAGAAAATTTGTATTCAATTATGTGTAGGCCTAGTCCAAATCATTAAAACATCCACTCTATGTTGATGCGCATGTTTCAGAGCAGCGGGTAGCAGCTAGATGGGCAATAATAATATCAAAAATCGTAATTACCGTCTGAAAAACGGTCCCTATTAACAATTGTTGTCTACCGGCTCGCGCAATCAAGATTCCAAGCCCAAACCTATCCCACATTTACCGCGCTAACTCACGAAAACATGACGACGACAACAACATGATGCAAATTACCTACCTCTTAAATTGGCCGTGAATAGGGCCTTCCGCCGTAGCGGCTGAAGCCACGACCGGAACGGGACCGAACATGTGGCGCCCCGAAGTGGTTCTGCGATTGCTCCCGATAGTGACTGTGACCGCCACCTCCAAAGTGCTTACCGCTTCCCGATCCGGAGGGGCCATCGTGCCCACCGGACCAACCGCTTCCGCCACCGCCACCGCCGCCGCCTCCCTGACCCCAACCGGAACCGGATCCCGAGCGACCACGATCCGAAAATGTTCGTCCACGTCCCCGGCCGCTACCGCGGATGGTGATGATGTCCCGGGACAGTTTGTTGTACCCAGTAGGACCCGTCGGTTGCGCTCCGCAGGTTTCCAGCGCCAAAAAGTCATCCACATGTAGCGACGGTGGACGAGAGGTGTTTGGCGGTCGCGAGCGGAACAAATCGCTGCGAGTGATCGGCGCACGGGTAAAACCACGACCTCGCAGAGGGGTAGCTGCGTGGAAAAATAGATATACAATTAGAAAATTATCTCATGGAACCAAAATTCAATCGTATCTTACCGAAAATTTTCTTCTCCGGTCGGCCAGTGCTTGGTTCGACTTCGACGCGCCTGGTCCGGAAGCACGGTGCAGTCGCCACGCGATCACGATTCGAATGGGGCGAAGCAGACAAATGCAACAGCCGCTTGCAATCCGACGTCAAGTTTATGTCCACGGCCAGGCAGCTCTTGGCCAGTTCGTTCAAGTCGCAAGGAATTTGCTCCCGTTCCAAGTCGTCCTCACAGGGCGAGAAACTCAGCCAGTAGCTCGCCTTCAGCTGATCCTCAAACTCCTCGCTAACGATGAACACACTACGGGAGGCGTACTGCGTGACGATGCCCTCCGCTTGCGGTAGCGGTTCCATGACGCCGAACTCGAACTGGCATTCTGTGCCGGAAACGACGTCCTTCAGCTGTTCCAACAGGTAGAGCAGATTCTCCTCCAGAGTATCCGGAGGAACGATTACGACGGGTGGAACCGGTTGAGAACCTTCTTCCACCTCCGCTTCGACCGGTTCGATCGGTTTCGGTTCGGATTTGAAGGTCAGCAATAGATCCTTCAACAGCCCGGTGCAATCCGTTTCCACCGTCGGGGCTGGTGGCTCTTGGCTAGCTTCCTTGCGTTCCTTTGGACGGAACACGAACGCTGCCAGTTGTTCGGAGGTAAGTTTGATGCTTCGCTTCGGAAGGTTAAATCCGACCAGCGATGTTTCGTCGATCATGACAAGCGAGCGCCAAAATTCGCCGAGCAGGACAAAGATCTGACGGTAGTTGTCCGGATTGTCACGGGCTTTGTCGGCAAACTTTTGCACGATTGACAGGATGGCGTCCTTGCGTTTGTCCATTGCCCCGATGAGGGTGGTTAGAGTGATGCTGTGTGGAAAATGGGTGGGAAATTTGAGTGATACACATTAGAAGGCATAAAAAAATAACACTCACTCATGTTCCGTCAGCAGCAGCATGGTCCTGACGGCAGCGGCCAGAACGCCCGGACCGATTTCCTCGCTGGAAATGTTCTCCACGATCGTGCCGCAGCAACTTTCGATGATCTCCTTCGGTGGCAGCGAACAGGCCAGCTGCATCAGCGGAGCAATGTTGCCGAACATCATGGCGAATTCCGAATCCAGCAGATTCTGGAACACCATGTAGATGTTTTCCTGCGTTTGCTGATGGGCCGGGGTCTGCCCCGGGTTGAGCAGAATGTTGGTCATCAGTTCCATGATACGGCCGGAGAGGATCGATAGGACGGACACCTTGACTGAGGCGTGACACACGAGACTGCCGAGGAAGCTGAACAACCGGGCATGGGAAGTGCTGGCCAGGTTGCCCGGGAGCAGTGGTTCCTGTATGATGAGATCGGTGATGGCCTTCGAAATGAGTAGGGTCATGTTGGGAGCGAGATCGGACAGTTGAAGGCAGACTCGGCTAAAGATGACCAACAGCGGTGTGTAGCTGGAAGGACAGATGGTTTGGATCATCTCGGTGATGGCCGGACTCTGCGGGTGCAGATGAGCGGACCAAAGTTGGCGTTCCTTGACCAGCTTGCTGATTTCCACGGGGGTCAACTCCTGACGGCATTGAATCGGCAGAGGGAGTGGTAGTAGCTCGGAGAAGACTAGCAGTCCCGGAATGAAGTAGTTCGGGCCGTACAGGATGAACTTGATCAGTTCACCGATCATCTGGGTCCAGAGACTCTTGTGGATGTTATTGGTATCGAGACCGTCCATGGGGGTCGGTTGGGTGAAGGCCAGAAGGATTTTGATGATGTCCTTCTGGATTTCGCGGGCGTCGTTGATGGCTGTTGCAGTCGGGGGGACGCTTTGCATCAGAGCGTAGGTGCGCAGCAGAGGTTCGATTACGGTAAGGTCCTTGAACTCGGTGTTGCGACATTCGATCAAGTAGGTCATAACCTTGCGCAGAATTTGGATCAACGGGGCTAGGATCTGGGTCAGCAGGATGCCCTGCATGCTGGCGAGACTCGAGGCGTGGATCGCCGGTTGATCAAAATAGGTATTGAGCTTTTCCAGGATAGAAATCAACAGAGTCTTACCGTCCGCCGAGTACAACTGCAGGATCGTATACTTGTACTTGAGTTCTACGTGACTGGGTTGACCTTGGCCATCGTATTCCGGGATGCCGAGGAAGCGCAAGAGTCTCAACGCCATAATCAGATCCCCGGGAAAGGTCGTTATGAACTCCAGGCTTCGCGTCATCAGTTCCACCAGCGGGTTGATGTTTTCGTTGGCGAACAACTCATGAATCTCTAGCGGTTTCAAGTAGACTGCCATTTCCTGCAGCATGGCACTAACCGAGGACTCGAATTGCTCGTGCTGCTTCGCTAAATTCAACAAAGCCTCACCATGCTTCACCAGATAACCCACGTTGTTGCAATGACGGACGGCGCAGTCCACCAGATCAACGCTGTAGCTCAGGGCCGGCGATTTGTGCTTAACCCCGGGCGATCCGTCTTTCATCAGCGCACGCTTTTCGCTTTCGATCAGATCCAGGAAAATCTTCATGTTTTCCTCCATGCAGATCACCTCCACGACGTAGCGCTTTCCGAAACTGTTGACCAAGTAGAACAAACCCTGCAGATGTTCGACCAGTTTGTCCAAATCGTTCTTGGTGTGGCCGATCGCATCCAGATAGTATACCGTCTGCAGCTTATAGGCCATCTCCAAACCCAGCAGCTGTCCGCGAGTCAGATCGTGCAGGAGATCCTCCGGGTGGGCCTCATCGTTCATTGGGCAGTGCTGGAAGAGAATCTTCAACAGGATATTCACCGAGTCGATGTGATCGGCAAAGTAGTGCAGCTTTTGTTGCTTCTTGAGCAGCGCTGCCAGCAGGTCGTAAACAGCCCCGATCAGCGATGAACAGGGCAGTTTCATTTCCAGCAACAAAATGATCGTTTCCATAAGCTTGTGCACGTTGAAGAACGCCACGAAGCTCCGGTTCGCGGTCAACGAAGATTTGATGTCCTTGTGGATTGCGAACTTGGCAGAAATTGGGAGGAAGCGTTTCGGTTGGCTGAAGGCAATGGCGTCCCAGGAGAGAGCGGTTGTCAACTCGGCAAAGCAATTCTCCAAGATGGAAACCATCGACGGATCCGGTTTGAAATCCGGTTGATTACGCGTGGCATACATGTCCGAAACGGTGCTCCGGACCAGATCTAAATTCTCGTAAATGTTAATCTTCTTCAGCAGCGATTTCAAAGCGAAACTGATTCGGGTTGAGGGATTTTCCTGAATCAAATCCAGCAATATCTGGTAGCCGTTGTATTCTGGACTCAAAAAGTAATCCAAGCCGCGTTTCGTGTCCAGGCAGGCGTAAATCGATCGAATGATCATTAGCTTGATCGACATGGCCATGTAGCTCTGGGAATACAAACCGAGTAGCTTATCGAAAATGTTGAAATCTTCCTGCTCGAGGATCACCTTGATGAAAACATCCGTTGATCCGAGGAACTCTGTTAGGCGAATACCGGCCTTCATGTGGCGCAACTTGTAGGCAGGCTGCGGTTGTGTCATAGCTCGATCCACGTCCAGACCCAGTTTGATGCAGTTCAGCAAAATTTGAACCCCATTGCTCTTCGTCTCAATCCACCCACCCATCGTCTTCTCGAACTTTGCCCTGCATTCCTCCAGCACGAAGATCTGATTCAATAACTGCACGCACTGTTCGGTGTAATCGACGAAGCCTTCCTTAAAGTCTCCCGTCTCTCCGCCAAAATCTGCCGTCGCTTTTCCACTGTACTTGATGTTCTTCAGCAGATTCTCTAAATGCTTAATCACGGCTGGATTTCCATCCAGCCCCTCTTCCGGTACGAACTTCTTCAGTACCGCCACAAACGGATTGAAGCTCTTGTAGTACTCGTCCGCCAAATCGTAATCCATGTCGTAGTCGTAATCCTCGGTAATTTCCTCATCACTGAGAATCGGTTCAAACTGCTCCGTACCCGACAGGGCATCCTCATCCGGTATCAACGCCGGAGACGCAACCGGAGTAGCCAACGCTGATGTTGGACTACCGGTAACTCCCGCAACAGCCGCCTTAATCCTACCTTCAACCGTTCTCTTCTCGTATTTGCCATGCCCTCCTGGGGCACCACCGTGTCTGAAATCATCCTCTTCGTAATCGTTGGACGAATCCATCGGATCCGGTGAGCGTGGTCTCCTCGGCGAATCGATAGGCGACCTTGGCCGCCGACGGTCATCCTTCTCCAAATCATACGACGATCCTCGCCTAACCCGATCGTACGAACTGCTCCGAATTCTTCTCGATCTATTCCCATAGTCCGGACTTCTAGACCACTCGCGCTTCGGAGCCGGGGCAGCCCCGACCACGTAATCCTTGCACAAGCTCGGGGAACGCGAATACTCATGACTTCTTCCGCGCGATCTTACCCCCGGCTCGTAATGCATCTGCCGTTCCGTCGAACGCGAAACCCTTTTGCCACGCTTATCCACCACCTCGCACTCCATCATCTTGGGCGAACTGGGTTCTGCTGGACTAGCCACAACTGCTGCCGCAGCCACTCTTCTCGCGTACGGCCTAGGGTCCTTCGGAATATCCTCCCCATCCGGTTCCGGATACTCCTTCTGCACAAATACCTCCGTCGGTACCGTCGCCGGTGGCGGCTCTTCCGGCCATTCCTGTCCCACTAGAACCGGCTCGCCAATCCCTCCCGGTACATCACCCACTACAATTTCCACAGGAGGTTCGGGCAGCGGCGTCGTCTCCCGTGGCGACACAATCGGGTCCGCAATATTCGCCGTCAAAATTCCATACACCGCCAGAGTAATCGTCGTATAGAAACCCTTCAGCACCAGCCCGTCCGTTGGAATCCTCCTGGTCCCGTCGTCCGGTTTGCCACATTCTAAATGAATACAATTGTTCTGATTGTACTCGAAATCGCCCAAACACTCGAACGTCGGCGCCCCTGGCTTTCCCAGATCATTCACAAACAGTTCGATCTTAAACTGAGACGGATTGGTCGCTCCCAGCCGGACACCGCCCGGGAAGTCTGCCTGCACTCGGGCACCCAGCGGAATGATGCGCACCTCAGTGATGTACACCGGCTTCGGGAACTGCACCAAGTCCAGGTTGAGTTTCTAAAACGGAAAACAAACGCCGAAATGACCACCCCTACCGAGTGAGAAAATCAAAAATCACATACCTCGTAGGTGTCATGGGAAAAGGTGTCGAAAAACAACAATTCCACGACTTCCTCGTCCATTTTCTGGCAGCTAACTATGCTCCGAGATGAGGCGCAACTTCTGCACTATAAATTGGTTTGGAAAATGTAAGTTTTCACACTCAAATTTACGATTTTTCCACTCAGCACGGCGGACACGTCCGGTAAAATCAGCCAAGTTGAGAAAACAGAACAAACGACTCTCCTCGCTTGGCGGTGGTTTGACACTTTGACAGTATCGAACGGGTGACCATCGCAAGATGGCAGTTTGTTGCAGCGGTACCGTGGAGTAAATTCGGAAAAGGCGGAGGCGAACCAGCCTAAGGCTGAAAGCCTCCTAAATAAAGCTAAATTAATTAATTAAATTCGGAAAAGGACTTCTTTCGTAAATTTAACGTGAAACATGAAAATTTTTATATTTTATAAATATTATGTTTTATTAGGGGAAATGACGGCTTCGGCATGACAGACTATTTTCGGCAACCCAAATTGAAACAATATTTTCCTGGATTTTCTTACGAAAACACTTCGCTGAATGCATGCAAACGATTCTTTATGCTTTCAGCTTCAATTTGACTATATTTTTACCACTAAGAAAAAGCAATCTAGCAAGGTTTTCTTGAAATGAAACACACGCACTACAAATTGTAGCTGATTTCGAGTTGCCGATAATAGAACAGCAGATTTACATGCAGTTCAAATGGAACGGTTGCCGAAGAAAAACTGGTTGCCGACAATACTCGCTCTCACTAGAGAAGATTGGAGCTTGTAAAAGCGTTTCAAAACAGTTTTTGACAATTCTTTCGACTGAAATTGTTAGAGCAGCTGGCAGCAATAGATTGTAAACAAACCAATACTGCATATGTGTGCGTTCCTTAGAGAAAAAGGCTATAGAAAGAAGGTCGCTGCTTAGGTTGCCGAGAATACGTAAATTCCCCTATTTGTTTAATTTAAATATTGTTTTTTGCATTTCTTACTGTACTCCTCAAAAGTGCGGAATAGCTAATAAAAGTGCAAATTTACGTTGCATTATCATGATGTCTGCGCATTTATTTTTTAGGATCTAAGGAAAACCCTAATAAAAAATACCATAAACGAACGATAATCCAAATGATTGAACTATTCCACAAATGGCTTGGATGATACCTCGCACACGTCGTTAAACCATAACATTTTTATTACAGACGTGCTCGGCCCCAAAACGTTTTTTGAGGCAACTCAGTGGCTGGGTAGATTGCACTCATTTTTGCATGCTTTATGGAGGTCGGTCCCTCGGTCGGTCCCGTCCAAGGGGAAGGTAACTCCGCACACCAATCTTGGGTCATTTTTTTTTTTGTCAGTGTGCCGCAAGTATGCCGATTGTGCCGATCATAGAGCAAGCTGCGATTGTTTGTAAAATACCCATCCCGGCAACCCGGTATTTCTGACACCTTCAAGGTTTTTGTTTGAAATCGCAAGGATAAATCGAATTGAGGATGACGCGGGAAGTGATGAGTGTGCGAAATTTCGGTGTTTTGTGATCCATAGGGTAATAAAAGCCCTGTGTTTTAGTGTTTTATAATGCCTTCAAAGGCAGACCAGAAACCTAGACTTTCGGTCGGAAAGAGTTGGAACCGGTGGGGAGCATTGTTGGAGACCGACTATAAAGGGTGACGAAAAGACTTCTGTAGTTTGTTTTGTGTGAGTTGCAGCATTATTTGAATTAAGGGTACTAATGAGGTCTGATTAACTGCCTCTTCTTCATGAGTCCACTCTAGAACCTACATTTCGTATTTAGATCTTTAAGTGAACTGCTGGTCTGAGTTCCTATGGTATATTCAATTGCACTGTAACTGGAAAGTACCCATTAATGGGTGAAAAAGTGCCCATTTCGCGGTAAAGTAGGTAAACTCATAAAATGGGTAAAACGTCTTTACCCACTAATGGGTAAAGAGCTTATACGTCAAATCATGGGGTACTTTTTACCCATTTCCAGAACGCATTGTTTTCCGTAACTGGGTAAAAAAGTACCCATTTTTTAAAATGTATTTATGGGACTCAAATTTGTGGCATGAAACAAATATGCTTTTAACAACGTTATAAGCTAAGAAATCATTCAAATCATATAGCATTTCTTACCTTGAAGCTTTTTGAAGCTATCACCATTCTTAAAACTATTCATATATATCACTTTTTGTAGTTTTCGGAACAAATGCACTCGAAAATGTAAACCAAGTATGTCAGCAACGTTATGGTGCAACAAAGATATTTTTCACCCAATAATGGGTAAATATGTACCCATTTTTGATCCCTGAACAGGTTTCGGAAATGGGTGAAAAAGTACCCACTATTTGAAATTTTCATTTACGCATTTTTTGACAGGTCCATACACTACCACAAAATGGGTAATTTTTCACCCATTAATGGGTACTCGCCAGTTACAGTGTGGGTTCTTTGAGGGTATTGAGGTAAATGCATATTCGTAATCTGCATTAAAAATAGAATCCAAATCCTATAGATTTCATCAATTTTGGTACACTGGAACTATGTTAAATAAGTACGATTACATTTGCAAAAAATACTACCTTAGGGCCCCTCGGTGGCACTTTGTCAGTCTGTTAGTTTAGTGTCAAACAGTGACGTTATTATTTTGCTTTAAATATTGATTTGAAAATCGAGATGAAAGTGTATGTTTTCGTGAAAAATATCGCTGTACTCAGAAAACGAAGCTCTTTCAGATGATGATGAAAAACCGATACATTTTTAAAAATTAAAGAACCCAATTAGAAGATGTTCCTGAACATACAGTCAAACAGCACGTAATGTTCAGAACAACTTCAATAAAGTTTTTCAGCAGTGCTCCCATTTTATTTACAACAATCTAATGAAGAGCTTTGAGTGGGTTGGTTTATTTCCCTTAAATTCCGTTATAATAGGATTTAATAATCTCATATGGCCATTGCAATCCAATGTTTCTAAATTCCCATCCAATGTTACATACGTCCTATTGAAAAATTATGCTTGTATTGTAGTATATCTCGTGTCCTTAGTTTAGTGCATGTCGTATTACCAACAATCAATACGAAACTAACGATTTTAAATTGGCTCACCACTTTAGTAGCCTATTGGTCCCTAGCAAACGATTAACGTACCCTATTCTAGTTGAAATTCTATTACTACACTATGTTTGTTTTGATTCGCTATGAAAGTTTGACAGATAACATCAGGGGTGTGTGGATTCATGCAGAACATGCAGGGGTGAGTGAAATAGCTTGGGACTGCTTGGGACCGTTGTTCTGGTACTGAGTGAGCCAAAAATAATAATGATTTTCTTCGGGACCTACTAGTCTTATACCCCGTTCACATTACAGCCAATATCACGTAATATAGGCTGTCTTGCAATGAGCACTCATACATAGGATTTCCAGTGAAAACTTGATGTATGAGTGCTCATTGCAAGACAGCGTATATCATGTGATATACGCTGTAATGTGAACGGGGTATTAGAGTTACCTCTATGGTATTACCATAGAGGTAACTCTAAGACCACTGGGTCCCGAAGAAAATCATTATTATTTTTGGTTCACTCAGTACCAGAACAACGGTCCCAAGCAGTCCCAAGCTATTTCACTCACCCCTGCATGTTCTGTATGAATCCACACACCCCTGATGTTATCTGTCAAACTATCATAGCGAATCAAAACAAACATAGTGTAGTAATAGAATTTCAACTAGAATAGGGTACGTTAATCGTTTGCTTGGGACTAATAGGCTACTAAAGTGGTGAGCCAATTTAAAATCGTTAGTTTCGTATTGATTGTTGGTATTACTCCATATCTATTGAGAAATGATGAAGTATTCGATTTTTTTTTTTACAGTTGCCACTCTTGCATTTATCGCAAGGATCCGACTCTAATTGAAAGGTCCCGCTATTTATACCCTTCGACGAAAAGCGCACCCCTTTGTCAGTCAAAATTGGATTCCTTAGCAACAAAATCAAGGAATGACACCGATAATGACTATGCATTAGAACCCTAGTCCTAATCACTTCAAACTAGGGAACAACGAATAGAAGATTAGGAATCACATAGATGAAGACAACTAACTCATTTTTTTCCTTGTTTCAAGATCATCCTCGTTAGACAAAGCCGAGTCTTGTCACTATCAACAAGGCATAAAAAGTAACAAGGACTAAGATGTGTTCCTTGGATTACTGAAAAATCCTGTTCCCCTAGTTTGAAATAGTCAGGACTAGGAATCGGTGGTAGATCTTATACATCCCGTAACGTACCACGAAAAGGTGATCTACCCACGTTACGGGGCTGACCGATTGATACCTGGGGGGGACGTGCTGTCAAATCAGCCTACTGATCATTATTGTATGAAACTGGCTCCAAACGTAAACAATCGCTGTAGGTTTCTTATGGCTTGTTTACGTTTGGAACCAGTTATGCGAGGCATGCGAGGTAGGCGACGATTGTTCGTATTTGACAGCCACCTCCCCCCCCCCCCCCTTGGTTGATACAAGTGTATCCGCGGCATTACTCATTAATGGGTAACAGATACTCGATGATAGGTAAAAAAATTACTTATTCATGACTGAAGCCACTTTTCTTCAAAATGTTTTTAACCCAATAGTGGGACTTTAAAGTATGCGTGTAACGGCGCTGTAGTGCCGCTGATAAATTAAGTATTTGTACCGCTGAACACAAGCTGACAGCTGATTTTTGTTATTGTTTTTATTATTCTTGCATATACACGGTAAGAAAAAAGTCCACAACGGCCAGTTCAGTTCAGATATTAAATATTTTTTGAGTGTATGTAGGTATAAGAGATTTTTAATCTCAGCAGGGAAAGGTTTTGCAGCTGAGTTATCGGAGAAAGAGAAAGTTGATGAAGAGAATCGATCAATGCAAACATGACCTTTTGAAATGTTTATCTAAAAATAGTATAAAAGTTACACGCTATTTCAAAACAAACCAACAAATTCGACAGTGAGCATGCATAAGGGCGAATACGCGATGATCCATTCTCTTCATCGACTTTCTCTTTGCATTGCTACAGCTAAGCGAAACAATTTTCTAGAATTTGTTCAATGCAGAGTAGTAACAGGTTGTATTGGCTATCAAAAGCAACAGCAAACGCACCGGAAAAAGGTTAAATCTAGCGAGTTATTAACAAAAAAGAAAATCGACGAAGAGAATCGATCATCGCGTATAGGCCCTTAAGGCCCACGCACATTAGATCTGGATCGGACACGTTGCGGCAAAGTGACGGCTAAATCTATTTTTTTTTTTTTTTTATTTATTATAGTCACTTCAACACTCTTGGCTCATTCGTGACTTGTCCGGGGGTGAGATTTGAACTCGTGACTTTGGCGTGAAAGGTATGGATGTTAACCACTACGCCGGGGTCGCCCCCCGCCCCCCGACACAAAGGTCGGTATAAAGGGAGAGAATGAAAACTTAGTATAAAAAAGGTTTATGCGTGCCATAGTATTTTTTTTTTATTATTATAGTCACTTTAACACTCTTGGGTCATTCGTGACTTGTCCGGGGGTGAGATTTGAACTCGTGACTTTGGCGTGAGAGGTATGGATGTTAACCACTACGCCGGGATTAGTGATGTTTAACGCCCACACACTAGTGGGAGCAACGCCGTGTAAAGTTGTTTATTATTTTCCTCTGGCTAACCTCGTGGCTAACCTAAAAAATGTATGAAAGTAGATCTGTTAAAATGAGTTTGACATCGATTTGTTATGTATTTTGCTCTCACATATCGCATTTGAGTGTACTTTTGACTAGTTTGTCTCCTTTTCTCCTTCTAATGTTGTCAAAAACGAAGTAGCAAAACCACCCAACAGGGTTAGTAAAGTGTGGAAATCCAACGTTAAGTATAATCATATTTACCTACTTTTGAGTACCACTGACTTACTTTTGTGTAGAAAGCGAGTGGAAAGTGTCATACGAATTGCACACAAGTAAATTAAAACTACTTTGACCCGCTTTACCTACTTTTGGCTTCCTGCACTAGTGCCGAGATGAGTGAAATAAACCTACTTTTAAGGATTTTTTTTTTACCGTGTAGGTGAACTCGATTCACGAGTACATACACGCTAACTTGAAAGTTCCCATTAATGGAAATAAAGACCCATTTTGTTGAGTAAATTGTTTAACCATTAATGAGTATCTGTTACCCATTAATGAGTATCTGTTACCCAATTAATGAGTAACAGTTACTCATTAATGGGTAACAGATACTCATTAGTGCGAAAAAAAATTTACTCATCAATGAGTTAAGCCAAATTTTCTTCAAAATGGGTATTTTTTATCCATTAATGAGTACTTTCAAGTTAAAGTGTAGACCGCTAGAAGTTTTGTTTACAAAACCTTATAAGACCCTTTCAATTGTTGATCTTGAATTATTATTTTCTCATCTTATCGAATTGTTTAATCAATTCAAATATATTAGTTTCAATTGAGGTGGTTTTCTATCAAGTTTCACCAGAGAACTCGCAATTACAGCCTGTGTAAGTTCATTGGTAAACCGTGATAGAATTGTTCATGAAAAGCTTTGTACTTCATAGGTTTATCCTCTTAAACCATCGATCCATCGTTCCTGATCCTGCAGCGTCGAACAAAATGCCTGCTCGAACCAACGACACATACTGGTGCACCACCAAAAGCCAATTTATTGAGCTCAGTACCATCTGGACGATCGATCAAGCTCGCTTTCACTTGAACAAATTGCGATACCTAGAATCATCGGTTTTCTGTTCGAAGAATAGGGACCAAAAGTGGCGCCTATGTTTCAGACGGGATCCTTTCAACAACCATCCCCTTCACTTGGGCGTGTGCCTAATCGTTCAGAGTGAAAGGCCCATCTACGCAGAATTTTCTATTTCTATTTTGGGCTCCGATGGCAGGAAAATGCTTACCAAAAAAAGTGTAGCCCGTGAATTTGCGAACAATGTGGAAAATGGCTTCCGGGATTATATCCTATTAACTGATTTATTGGAAAATAATGAACTTCTCCCGGATGATAAATTGACGCTGTTTTGTGAGGTCAGGGCGCACATTGAGACACAGAATTACAATGGTACAGGCTCTGGAAACCGACCTGTTTGCTTCACTATGCCGAGCTGTGATCTAGAGAAAAGGTTGGGAAGTTTGCTGCACGACGAGAAGTACACCGACGTGATTATTGTGGTTGGCGAGCAGAAGATAAAGGCCCACAAGAATATTCTGGCCGTTCGTAGTGCAGTGTTTGCGGCTATGTTCGATTCGGATATGGAGGAAAGTGCTCAAAATCATGTAACTATTACCGATTTGGACTACGAAGTAGTTGAACAAATGCTTCGATACATGTACACTGGCGAAGCACCGAGGTTGAAGTCGATGGCTGACCATTTGCTCGTGGCAGCCGATAAATATTCTCTGGACAGCCTCAGGGTGATGTGTGAGCAGGCGCTCTGTGCCAACCTGTCGGTGGACACCGCCGTTGAGCTGCTGGCTCTTGCTGATCTGTACAATGCTGACCAGCTGAAAGAGCACACTGCCCGCTTCATCGATAACAACATTGCTGAGGTGAGGAAAACCGCAGCCTGGAAGAATATGATCGCGCAGCACTCGGTTTGCCTTTATCCTCCGCCAGCCAGACTTCCGATGATGACGTGGATGGGGCAAGCAGTTCGCCTGATGTTTACCAAACTTGCCTATACCGTTGCGCGTGAATTGATCAACTTCTGAATGATATAAAAAGCATTTATCTGCATTTTTTGTTTGAATAATGTTTGCCTATTGCAACTAGATTTACTGAAAACTAGATTTAAGATAAAATCAATACAAATTCTGGGTGACTTCTGGAGGTGGGGTCACTTCTTACGTAATATCATTTCGAAAATTGTTTTGTTCTATGAGTTGATCAACAGCTGAATAAGCAATTTTTTAGCTGAAGAAGCTTATTTTTGCCTGCATAAGCTCTTATTCAACATTCAATGTTTGTTGGGCGCAACTCAACAGCAAAGCGAAATCTTAAACGCTGTCCAGACTGGAGAGTTATAACATGTTATAACGGTTGTCAAATAATTGCAACACAAAAACCACCATCAATATAGCTCTATAACATCTATCTTCTGTGTTGCAATTATTTGACAACCGTTATAACATGTTATAACTCTCCAGTCTGTACAGCGCTAAAGAGACTTATTTAGTTAAACGCTGGCCAGATTGAGCAGTTATAACATATTATAACGGTTGTCAACTAATTGCAACACAGAAACCACCATCAAGATAGCGCTATAACATGTTATAACTCTGTAGTCTGAACGTATTATTAGTTAGACTGCCTAGAATCGCATATCAGTCCCATATGACTTTTCGACGATTTTGAGATACGTGAACTAATGGGCCTAATTTTTATTATTCTTCATCTACATAGTATAAAATCGAGTTGTTTGTTCTGAAATAATAGGAAAAAAGATGAGGTCTGTGTGTCCCATATTAAAAGTAATCGCATATCAGTCCCATTATGACAAATAATGTATACAAAAAAAAAAAAACAACGTAAGGCATTTAGCAAGTATTTTTAGTATGGATTCTTTTTTTAACTAGTTCGTTTATTTGGAAGGCTCAATCGCATTAGCTTTACGGAGCCGATAGTTCATTGTTCTTTGTTTGTAACAAAATTCACTTAATTCTATGCCTAGTAGAAGTTGGGCCGAATACTCGCGGCTTACTCGAGGTTAGAGAGGTACATTGTCGAAGGATAGGATCAGGGGAGGAGCTTGGGGTAAGGTTTCGTTGTCTCATCAGAGCGTTGTCGCCAGTACGAATGGTAGTGCGGTTCTAGTTTCGTCTGGAGTTCGACCGGCTATAGTGACCAGTGGGCGACGATGAGACTCATCGAGACAAGACAACCAAAAACCATTAAAGAGAGACAAAATACAAAGGAATTAAATTCTTATACTAGACATTTGAAGAAACACATAAACCGACTGCATATAGCAGATATCGCGAGTTCCCAACACGTCTCTGATAGGAACATAGGGTTGTCTTTCTTGGGCCTCAAGGGTATTCAAAAGTCGCTCTCTGGCGGCGTCATTATCCGTACATTGCCAAACTGCGTGATCGATGTCATCGTAACCGTTTCCACATCGACAGATGTTGCTGTCCACGAGATTTATTCTAACGAGATGAGCATCTAGCGAGTAGTGCTTGGACATAAGTCTACTCATCACGCGAATGAAGTCACGACTTAAGCCCAAGCCTTTAAACCACGGTCTCTAAGAAACATTAGGAATAATTGAATGTAACCAACAACCAATACGAAGTATCACGTGCTGTACAGGTTCTATTTCCTGGGCTTGTCCAAATCGCAATTGGCAAAAATGTACGGGAAGCATCACACTACAATTAGCAGCTGGATAAAACGTTATCGCGAAAGTGGATTGGTGGCTCGCAAAGAGAGAAGAAAAGTGTCCTTGCAGTTTGGAGCAAAGAAACGACGGTGGTTAATCGAACAGTTTAAAAAAAATCCGACATTATTCTTAGATGAGGCCAGGGATAGTTTTGAGAAAACTTTCAACTGCTCCATCAGTACGTCCTCTGTTTCCAGAATACTACACGAGCAAGGATATACGTGGAAAGTTCTAGAGCGTCGGGCGATCCAGGTTCAAGGACAACAGAGGTATGTTGCGGAATCGAGGCTACGCCAAGGTCGGCGAAAAATTGATTTACAGGGGTGAATTCAACCGCAAAGCCAGAGTATCCTTACTCTGCTTCTTGGGCCAGACAGGAATGAAGAACACGTACTTGACGGAAGGAACTTTCACGAGGGCAAAGTTCTTTGAATGTTGTCGTAGCTTTGCCAACAGTGGAGAAGTTTATCGACACCCTGGAGTTAATTCGGTCTGGATCTTGGATGGGGCTAGAATTCACTGCCATCGACGAATAGTTGAGTATCTCCGGTCATTGGGAATCCATGTTACCTTTTTGCCTCCGTATACACCGTTTTTCAATCCAATCGAGTATATTTTTGGATACTGCAAGAAAAAACTACAACGTGTCTACGTAGAAAATAGCTCTTCGGATCTCACAACAACCATTTCTGCGACGTTAAATACATTCACGAACTTTAACTGCACTCGTGTATTCCGCAAATGCGGATATCTGCCAGGTGGGAAATTCAATCCGGCAAACGGACTAAGTCAAAATATCGAATCATTGGGATTTGAGAATGTACGTAATAAGGATTAATAAACAATAAATCAAATAATCAAATATTGTTCACCTTTTTTTATTTCATAAACTCAAAACAAAGAGATGTTCAATAAGCAACAGCTTCAATCAGTTGGTCGTCCCGAATGCGTATGGAATCGTTCGGAATCAGGATCAGCAAATCGTTATTGATGGTCGACATCCAAGCAGTCGGTCACTTCTAGATAGAGCTGGAATTAGGGCGAAACAGCCTTTGTAAACAATGACTTCTCTAGATGATTTCTCGAAACTCAAGGCACGCCCACGCAAACCAACATAGCCAACGGGAAGGGGAAGTCTTCCCCTACTCGATGGCGACGTTGATTTGAGTGAGCGAGTCTTGGCTTTCTAGAAATCATCGAGAGAAGTCATTGTTTACAAAAGCTGTTTCGCCCTAATTCTAGCTCTATCTAGACTTCCTCGGCGAGTTTCTGCCCAAAGCTATCTTCAGATACAGCAATACTGCCAGACACATCTGCTAGCAATGAAGTGTTAGTTGCCTGCATCGTTTGCAATGCGGTCAAGCGCAATTGCATCGCCTTAGCATATGTCATAAGCTGGTCCAAATCTGCTTGCAGGCCATCCAACAATTGTTTATACCCTGAATTAACATTTTGGGCAATGCATACATCCTGACGAGTGTGATTCAGCACGTTTTGAGAGCATGAGGGAACCGTCTGGAACAAATGTATCAGATGTTGGGGAGGTCCTCGCAACTTGAATTCCTCTCGTTCAAGCGCGTCTTTGGTCAGTAAGTACGAAGCCCATACAGACCAGTTGATGTCCGATGAAATGTAGGATAGCTTGTAGAGTTCCTTCAACTCAGTGGACAAATTACTGTTTGCCTGGTTGGATGCTGCTCCTGCTCGGTCACGCTCCTCCGGTTTTATCAGCTGCACTCGCAGTGTTTCGTACATAGCGGCTGAGGTCACCAACTCCGAATAAATGTGCACAAACACGTTAATATCTCTGTTCAGAAATTTCTGCATTTTGTCTGGCTTTTCTAGCAACTGTAATGGTTTAAACGTGCGTTTCGAGGCTTTATCTTGGAAGGAGATGAACTTATCCATATCGCCGACTTCTGGGTTCAAATCATCATTCCAGTGCACGGTAAATTGATCAGCATCTCCACCAGCGAGTGATTCAAACACGGCCTCTCTGCGAATGAACTTTTCACAGTAATCCCATACAGTTTGCATTACCTCCTCAGCTGATTCACAGTTCACTTGCACTTTTCCCACAGAAGGACAGAATACAGTTGCTGGGAATCGAAATATTTGTTTTGGCTCCGCTTGTTCACTTTCACTTCCAGGGCTTCCGGGCGAAGCAGAATCCAGTGTATCCTGGAACGATCTTTTTGCCTGCTGCACATTTGATGGTCCTGCTTCTGCTTCCTCCTCCAGAAATTCTACCTCGTAGTCAACCTCCCGTCCCTCCAGTCCTACAAAAGTTGGAGACATATGCATGATGGCACATCTGAAAAAGAAACACTTATTATGAAATGCATTTCATTTGAATTGATACGAAAAATATTTTACCTGCGATTCAAAGCCGACGTCGAACGGGCACAGCAGAAATCAAATGAAGCCGCTAGGAAAAATGAGTTGACAGTTTGTTTTGTTTTGTTTGGTGAAGGGTAACTGATGGGTTGTTGACTATGTACGATTGCAAGTAATTTTTTTTATTTGTTGATTTGCAACTGTTTTATGTGAAATTATGATTCACTGGCCCGAAATACATATAGGTAATAACGAGTTGAAGCTTTAAGAAGGGTAACGTCAATATTTAAAGACAATTTTTGAAGCAATATAAGATTTCGTTCGAGTCAACTATCAGTCACATACCCTTGCGCACAAAAGAGTGACAGCTGAGCAAATCAAGCTTTTGCTAGAATTTCTCGGGAACCACAATATTAAAGCGATCAAAAAAAATTAGCCGTCCTGTTTTCCATGGGCTTCAACTGTTTTTTTTTTCCTTCCTATACCAATGACAAATAGTTTTCAGCGAGGTTTTCAGCAGCTTTTCTGTCGAGGTCAATTCCTCTGGGTTGACTTCTCTTTATCAAATGTTCCTCCAGGTTGAAGTGCTCCACTGAAAACACTTTTTCCTGCTTGGCTGTTAATATCTTACAGCTTTTTAAATCGTCACCGTTCACAAAGCTGCTATAATATAGATTAAAGCAGCCTTTCTTTATGACAACTCTTCTCGATGGTCGAGGGCTCCAGCTTGTTTAGCACGTACTGGGAGACAGTGAAACCAACACTAGTAGGTCCCGAAGAAACGTGCTCAACTTTTTGGCTCAGCTCTGGTACTATCTTCGGTCCCAAGCTAATCGATTCACCCCTCGAAACATAGGAAAATCCACTAACCCCTCATTTTATCTTTCATACTTTCATAGCGAATCAAAACAAACATAGTGTAGTACTAGAATTTTGACTAGAATGGGCTACGTAATCGATTTGCTTGGGACCAATAGGCTAGTCAAGTAGTGAGCCAATTTAAAATCGTTAGTTTCGTATTGATTGTTGGTACTACGGCTCTGAATCGTTCGTCCATAGAGCATCGCTGGCGGTGTTTGTTGGTGACACCTTAGCAGTACACGATGTGTTCAATTTACTGGGACCAGGAGCCATTTTTTCTGCAGGATTTGTACCATTTCAAGGCCAATGTTCAAGGAAGATCCACATTCCCAACATACGATTAGAACCAAGGCTTGGTATGAAACCAAGATGCAACAACTGCAGTTAGGCGAAATTACATCAACGGAATGTGAATTGCATCCTCATTTAAACAATTTCCATGACTGCGAAAATTACGTACTTGATGTAATGCATGACATGGCCGAAGGTATTGTTCCGTTGATCTTGCAGCTGGTTCTGAATCGTTATTTGAAAAACAAAGAGTTCGATCTTGATACTCATATATTAACTTTCGAGTCAACACATTTGCCTACGGATATGTAACTATGGCATAACCAGACACTCCCGGGTAACTAACTCAGTAGCATGAGACCAGGGCCGGCATGTTACTGGGTATTCGGATGGGCTACGCGGACAAAGTATGAACACAGGAACATTCACATTTTCTATAACATTTATTTTTACTTTTCTGTGGCGTGTGGGTGTGGGTTTTCACAAATATGTGGTATACGAGAGTTTATGAACGGTACGGTACTCACTGTTGCAGCAGAATCTCCTTCGGCGTCGCGACGCTGGCGTTGGCCCACACGGCTGCTCCTGCACTACAGTGGCATGGCCAACTTGCTCAAGCCGAGACAGGACCCTCCTTGGTAATTAAGGCCACCGGTCTGAGGGAATCGTCCCTGACGGACGATCGAGGATCATTTACTATTAGGCTCGGAAGCCATCTTGACTTCCGAGCCGAGCCGTGTGAGACCGTTTTAGTTACGGTACGAGGTGTACAAGATGTACAAAAGCACAAGAGGTCCTGAACGGAGGCAGTCCTTCCATCCCGAGCCCCTAAAGGGGGGGGGGGTATAAACCATTTCACTGCACTTTACTATGGTCTTGTTCACACGGACGCCTGTTTTCTTCTGCCTAATTTTCCAATTCTAATACCCCGTTCACATTACAGTGTATATCACGTGATATACGCTGTCTTGCAATGAGCACTCATACATCTAGTTTTCACTGGAAATCTTATGTATGAGTGCTGATTGCAAGACAGCCTATATTACGTGATATAGGCTGTAATGTGAACGGGGTATAAGATGGCTTTCTTCAATCAGCATATAGGGTAAATTATGGCTTCGGCACCCATTGACTGTTTTCGGCAACCGAAATTGAAACGTTTATTTCACTGTATTTTCCCATCAAAACTCTTCGCTGAATGTATTAAGCCGATTCCTTACCTTTTCAGCTTCAATCTGATTACATTTTTACGACTGTGAATTCCTGTTATACCACATTTTTCTTTAAATGAAATATACATACTACAAAATACGGCTGATTTCGAGTTGCCGATAATAGAACAGCTGGTTAACACGCAGTTCAAATGGAAAGGGTGCCGAAGAAAAAGAGACTGCCGACAATAGTCACTCTCAGCTGAGAAGTTTGGAGCGTTGTAAAAACATGTTCAACCCGTTTTGATCAATTCTGTCGATTAGAATTGGTAGAACAGCAAGCAGCAGATAAATGTCAACAAACAAAACCGTCATGTATGTGTGTGACGCTGAGAAATCGCTAATAGAAGTTCGGACGCTGCTTAGATTGACGAGAATACGTAAATTCCCCTATCAGCATATCAGCATATGCAGCATATGCGCATCCATTTTTAGCTTAGGGCTTAGATTTTCCTCCCTGTAGTATCGTTCGAGTGTTTTTGCAGCGGTAGTAGCCCTCTCGCTGCTGTGCGTTGCCTTCTGTCTTTGATATTAAAATACGTGAATTTTCCAAACAACAACAACTCATACAAACGAAAATCCACGGATTGTAACCAACTGGTTACAGATATGTGGATAGGAAAAATAAACCATCGTCAAATTTTACGGAAGAGATGCTGAGCAAATCAAACGCATGTAAACTAAAGCAGACTTCATCACAGAATGTCATACTACTACGTTCATTTCCTTTTCTGTTCGGGCACAATGTTCCAGTGGATTGCCCGTGTATCTAGATAGAGCTGGAATTAGGGCTAACAGCTTTTGTAAACAATCACTTCTCTCGTTGATTTCTAGCAACTCAAGGCACGCCTGCACAAACCAACATATCCATCGGGTAGGGGAAGCCTTCCCCTATTCGATGGTGTAATGTTGATTTGCCATATTATGTCGTTGATTGGACATTTGATAAATATCGTGTAGCAGTTTGAGTTGTCCAAACGTACAGTAATGAGCCCGTTGGGCAGATGCTCAACAGTTAAAGCATTTTCCGTTATACGTGCCACAGCGGAAGTAGCAAAAACAGAAGACGCAATTAAAAGATCATTCGAGATACGACAGTCGAACAGTAAATACATAGAAGTTATTTTCTCCTGATAAAACGTGTTCGTGCAAGATCCGAAAAATTACTACAATTTATTCAGAAGTAGGATCTGGCCTGATCGGATTGGCCTTTCGTAAAGCGTGGCAATCCTGAAGTGTTCGAAATTATCCACACCGAAGTATCGAGATTGTGGATGTCGAAAACCGAGATTCGAGCGTCAAGTGAATCCAGTGGGAGTGCATCGAGCCAGCGTTGACCAGCGAAAACGAGTGGCATAACTCTAGCCCCATCCGAAGACAGCGATTTTGGATCCTCCAGCGAGCGAGTGAAGATGCCGAGACGAAAGGGAGGCCGTAAGTCTCAGGGACCCTATGAGGATGCCGACGACCAGGAAGAAGAAGAGGAAGAAACGAAGGATGATGTAAAAATGAGTGCCGGTGGTGGAGAGCGACATTTCCATCCGGAGGAACTTTAGCAGCTCATTCCATTGTTCAAGGAGGGAAGCGGTGTATTGGATTGGCTTCAGACAATCGATCACTATCGAGAGCTGTATGCGTGGACGTATGCATCCTGTCGGCTTGGTGGAGCAGCGTACCAGTGGTATCTTGGTGTCTGGCAGTGTATTCGAACGTGGGAAAATTTCAAGGCCAGCATCTGTATTGCTTTTCCGGAGTATGAAGACGAAGCGGACGTTCATCGGAAGCTGGCAAAATGCGTGAAGGATGGCAAAGAGTCTTACGATAATTATGTTTTTCGGATGAATGCCATCGGACAGAAGGGGAAATTGAGCAGTTCGGCGATCATTAAGTACGTGATTAGCGGATTGTCATACGATCCGTTGTACAACAGTGTGGTAACCCCGCGCTACGAGAGTATATATGAGCTACTCGAACACATTCGTTACTGCGAGTCGAACCAGGAGATGTGCAAGCGTCGAAATTATGCTGTCAGATTGAACGTTCCAAAAGCCAGTGTGATGAATCCGGGTAGCAGGAAGCAGCATGAAGAGAACCGAACAAATGCGGATGCCGAAGTACTACCGAAACGAAATACGAAGGACGAGTGTTTCAACTGCCATGGTTCCGGACATATCTCGATAAATTGTCCGCAGCCACAGCGTCGTCCCCGTTGCCCCGTGTGCAATAAAGTGGGTCATGGTGAGGAAACCTGTTTCAAGCGGAGAAACGAATCAAATTCAAGGCAAGCTAGCGGTGAAGCAGCTGATCCGAAGCCATCAGTGAGCGGAAACACGTCAGCGTACCCAATCGTGAACGACGAGGAAGGTAATGGGAAGATTTTTGGAGGTTAGTGGTCCATCGCTGCTCTCAGTTGACGTCATCACAGACGATTGAGACTCTGGCTGATTCTGGATGCCTGGTGAGTCTAATTAAGAGATGTTGTTTTCAAAATGAACAGTTCTACAGTAAGCTAAGTAACGATGATCTAGTAGGGGCGAATAATTCTCAAATCAATATAGTAGGGTCATACTCTACCAAAGCGATAATTCGATCAGATGTTTACGT